AAGGACGGATAATTGCTAAAAATTAAATGAAGGATCTTACTTATATATATAATTATAAATACGTTATGATGGCATATTCATAACGATTAATTATTACGATAACGTAATGACATTACTATTATTACTATTATAAATAATACCCTATTCCCCCATTTGTTGTGAATGTTTACGTTGTTTTATGATATTCAGAATATTTTAAAAATAAAGTCTATAATTTCCACGAACACAGTTGTTTCTTCTTATTTCCTGTTCTTCTCTTCAACAGGGAAATAAATCATTTAAAGGAAAATGAAAATATTCGTAAATAAAATTTCAAGTATAATTAATTTCTGATATGATGCCTGGAAAGAAGATGTCAGGAATAAGTAAGTACTGCGACAGAAAAATCAGCATTTCATTGCATAATTAATCGGAATCTGAAATAGTTTCTTTAAATTCTCATTAATTATTAATCGACCACGGGAGTAGCAAAGTAGCAAAGAGAATAGACCGAGCGTTCAATATACTTTTGTTCACCTTGTAAAAGATAGACACGAGTCTCTCGCTTGCCGATAGAAAAGAGACAAGTTTTACCATTAATTTTTTTCCACTCAATCGCCTCGTCTCGAGTCTTTCATTTCGACGCTCGATCAATTCTCATATGTTTAATCAGTTCGCTCTGGCGAACAGCTGATGTCAGTCGTTGAATCAAGTTTTGCGCGTATCCGCGTGTCGTCGAGGCAACTTCAAGCGGCGGCGGTGATGGGTCGCAGGCCGCACGGTGGTGGATGCGCGTGCACACGCCAAGCAATAAACGCGGCCACTTTCACGTTATTTTTTATGGGTTCGTGTGTATGTACCACGATCTTCTCGCCGCTCGTATTAGGCCACGTCAAAATTAACTTGATCGGTAACTGGAGCTACGTTACTCGTTATTTTTCACGGCCGATCCCGGCTGGCGAAAAATGTGAAGAATGCACAGCGGCTGGCTGCTACACCGAGGTGCACCGAAGCAGTTTGACAAGAAGCGAGGTACCACTCCGCTCGGTTACTATTTTTAATTCCAGTTGTTAACCTCGGCCAACGCGTACGCGGAGATGTCATTCGAAGGGAAATACAACGCGAAGAGCCCCGGTGAGTTCTGCCAAAAATCCTATTGCTAAACGACGTCGTTCCGTTCACGAATCCGCACAATACGTTTTTACGATTTTATGTAACGTTCGTTATCTGTAACAAGCCAATTTCACGTTATCTCGCGGTACACGTAGCCTACGCTCTTTGTGATGCAGGATTTCGTTCGGGTCAATTTATTCCACGTAACGAACTACATTTCGTGACATCTACAAAGTGTTTTCAATTACTCGAAAAATGACGTTTCAGCGGTAAAGAGATTGATGAGAGAGGCTCAGGAGCTTCACGAAGCTACAGAGGAGTATTGTGCGTCTCCTTTAGAAGACAATCTCTTTGAATGGCATTTCACTGTACAAGGACCACCATCCACAGACTTTGAAGGAGGTGTCTATCATGGTAGAATTCTTTTGCCACCAGAATATCCTATGAAACCTCCGAATATTATACTATTAACAGTAAGATTGCTTTGCTATGCGAGATACGTTCAATACTTGGCTCTCTTTGCATCGAAGTAAAACAATATTGGATATCTGTTTCCTCAGCCAAATGGTCGGTTTGAAACTAATAAGAAGATTTGTCTAAGTATCTCTGGACATCATCCAGAGACATGGCAGCCTTCTTGGAGCATCAGGACAGCTCTGTTGGCTTTAATTGCGTTCATGCCGACGCCAGGGAATGGGACAATCGGATCTTTAGATTACAGTAAAGAGGAAAGGCAAAAGCTCGCGAAAAAGTAATTTCCTATTCATACTTTAAATTTTTATTAAAGAAAGGAGACTATAAAATAGTGATTTATGTCACGCAGATCTTTGAGCTGGCAATGCGATACTTGTGGCAAGGTCATCGATCTGTTGTCCAAGACCACGGCTAAAAAGCCCATCACGGAAGAAGAGCAAACGATGTTAAACACGATCGCTTTAAAGGTCGGCTTTCATCATTCATATTCAATTTCAGATTCACTGATTTACAAGATATTTTTGAACAAATGTTTAGGCTGATGACTCACCCACGTCGGATACATCTTACATACCCGGTGTAGACAACATTACTGAGAATGAATTGAGACAGCGCAATGTCGAGTCGATTCCTGTCGAGAACCAGGACCGACAACAATCGGATACTATAGTGAACCAACAAGTAGAAACGATGTCATCGTCGAACGATCTATTCTGGAGCATTCTGATCGCTTCTCTAGTGTCGGCGATAATTCTGCTCGTTTTGCGACGGCTATTTCTTGTTTAAATTATTCTAAATGTAACAAAAACGTTATGATTGTAAGTATGTTGATGAGAACGAAGTAAATTTTATACACATTTTATGAATAACATTTTTAAACTTAGATGAAGTGAACATCAAGTTTATACACGTTAGAAACAATTCGGATTCCAGCAAAAATCGCACGGATAATGATCTACTTTAATACATATCCACTTGTCTCGTACAAAAGAATGATGATTCAATTGGCTATACTTTGTTTTATGTTTTCGATGTGCAGGACGTGTAATCTAAAGGACGTCCAATTTGATCTCTACCACATAAAATGCATTTAACGATTTATGCTTAAGTTGACGGCCCGTGCATAATGTTTTAGTTGCATATAAAAAGTAGTTCAAAGTGAGAAGCAATCAGACTTTCATCGAAGTCATACTGTGTTTGTAAAGGAAAAAGATTTACCAAACATTTTCTAACCAAATCTATATATTATAGTAAAATGTCTTACGTGAAAGTATATTTGAAGTCCACGTTGCTGTGGTGTGAAATTACGGTCGTGTATTTCTTCCCTCTAGTATTGTTATATAAATGTAGATAACTCGTATTTAGAATTGTATATAAACTAACTATCGTTTTAAACATAAGTGAAATGATCTACGTTGTACTTCACAAAACTATGCACATAACAAGCAAAAACGAATACACTACTTTAAAAAGTATTTCATTCAAGTACAGATAAGACACACCGATTCTATAATTCGTAGGTACAACAGTTTATCATGGGACCATATTAGGACATGGTTTCATTATAAAAAGTAAATGAGAACTGTGAGAATCTCCGGGTGTATCTCTTTTCTTTCTTCATTTCTTCTTTCATGTACACAGAAATATAATAAAGTAATTTATCAAAGCATACAAAAACAGATTCATTTCTGTTGGTGATCGAGGTCGTCGATGATAAATGAAGCTGTGTGTAACACAGTTCATTGAATTTCAATACCTATGATAGTATAAACCAGGGCTTCTTAAACTTTTGTCATTCACGACCCCATTTATGATTGCGAGTTACCATTACAGTCGTCAAAATTTTGCTACGCGACCCCATTTGGGGTCGCGACCCATAGTTTAAGAAGCCCTGGTATAAACAATTATATTTGAATAGATAAAAAATATTGTTTACAATGACGGTTGTATTTAATATAACAAACGATCGATTAACTTTTACAGATCGCAAACTCACAATATGTGCGCGTAACATATAAACGATATCGCTTCGAGATTTAAATGCTAGGCATACAAATTATTAAAGCCAACAATGTTATTTAAATTCTTTCATTAAACAGTTAATATCGAAGGATGCAAATCGATCTTAAGATTAAAATACAAAATACCCGATCGGTACAACTGCTTACGTAAAATAATAATTTTCGGTACAAAGTACTAGCCGTGAGAGGAGATTTAATACTGAAAATAGTTTTGGTCCCTATTACTTTTAGAGCATCTAAACTCGTGGGAAATTATAATGTTTGCAATAAAATGATTGATGTCTATTTTACTTGACTCTCGTATAAATGACAAATGTCTTTATTATTTTATTCTTGATATATAGAAACAGATTGTAAGCGTTTTGATATAGTACATTGTGTACCTAGGGCGCAAAATAGGGCATTCTAGCACTGGCACGAGTTTCGCTCGGGCGACAAATTCACACACGAGTGACAGAATGCCTTTCGCGCCTGTGGTGCACATACTATTTTTTGACACACCGGGCGAGAAATCATTGAAAAATCGATCATTGAGAATTGTACGTTCAGCTTAATTACAAAGAAGGGGGTCCAGGGGGCGAAGTCCCCTGGTGGGGGTTCGGGGGGCGAAGTCCTCATC